CCGACTTTGCGGTGGAATTTTCACCTCAATCTATGGCTGGGTTTTTTATGTTTATTTTTTATGCTTTGGGTATCATAGACTGTAAATTCAAAACTTTTATAAAAAATATAATGTGTGCATGAATTATTAAAAACATTCAAGAGCCAACTTATAAATACTTTCTTTAAATTCAAACGAGAAAATCCTTAACACACAAATTTAAATTCTATTATTAGCATGAGAATTTTGTCGGTAAACAACATATAAATATTTTTATAATTCTTTTATGGAGTGCTCTTCTTAATTTAGATAATTTAGATCTATTTTATTTTATTTTTAATGGATATAAAATTCAAAATAAAGGTAATTTTAATTTTTTTTTATAAGAAAGTAATTTTAATGATAACCCAGGTTTGACCTTTTAGTTATGGAATCTAAAACTTTTTTAAAAAAAAGAAAAAGAAGAGGAAAAACACAGAAAAATTATGAGGGAGGGGGTGAAAAATTCTAGAGGGGACCGTCAAACGTGGGGGTTGGGAAAGCACTCGCTTATGTTGAGCTTCATGTAAGCAAAAGATAAACGACAAGCCGTCAAACGTGGGGGTTGGGAAAGCACTCGCTTATGTTGAGCTTCATGTAAGCAAAAGATAAACGACAAGGACAAGGGAGAAACCCTATGGCCTGTTGTTGGGCCCTCTTCGGCTGCAACGCAATTCATGTGAGCTCGAAACGTGTCGAGGTTCAGTTGGCCCCACGCCAAGTACACAGCATCACTAGCAAGGTCAACATATGGCCTCGAAAGCATCGAAGAAAGCCACTGAGAAGCTGAAACCTGGCAAGGCTCCATGGGAGTGGACCCACCTGATAATAGGGTGAGATTAGATCCGACCTCCAAAGGGGAGAGAAAAGGACATGAAAGTGCCTTTTTCATAGAATTAGAGAAATTATTACGTAACTACTATGTATCTTTGGGATAAACTAAATAGAATTAGGTCCAACATATTATTAATTTAATATTTATATGTAATATCCAGTTACGCGTTTTCCAAATCACAATGGCCGCAGAATTAGAATCATATAAAATTAGATATTCCTTCTATCCTCAGTATAAGACCTATTTAACTAATTTGATTATATTAAAGAAGTTAAGTAAGTTAGTTAATTATAAGAAATATGACATGTTTTTCCTAAAACACTATAATCTTCTTAACATTCTCTCTCATTCTTCTATTTGATTATAGATGAAGGAGATCCAGAGGAGTAACTTAGAAAAAATTAATAAATATGATAAATAGGTCTTATATTTATGACCAAAATCAACTGAACAATTCTCTTTAATAACCTAAATGTGGCATTAGCCATGTTGCCCCAGTTATAAAAGGTACCTTAATTTGCGTCTGAATTAACTAATCAAAAAAATTTCAACCGTTAATCCATATACCTATTTCCTTAATGTCTTTTCAACTGTCATTTTGTAGAAAATAATTAATGATTATAAATTGACATGTGGATATGGTTAGTTGGAAATATGCAGAATCAATCAAGCAAAATTATTAACTCTAAGAAATTCATATCTTTTTATCACATTTTCCCCCTTAACTTTCTGTTTTAAGAGTTAAATAGTGCATAGAAATAAAGCCGTTAAGGAAAATGTGTTTAGTTTGGCTTTTTGGAACACTCTTGAGATAATTGTGATTATTTGGAGTTGTTTACCACTTACACATTTCTCCTTTAAGTAGGAGAATGGAGAACAGCGTTTTTAAGTTATGTAGGATACCCTTGAAGAATATATTAGCTGGAAGGAAGCATGAAAGAACTCTAAAGACTAATGCAGAAAACTCTTATTTTTTTAGTACACTCACTGTTGGTTCGCCACAGCCAGTGCTACAGCAAACACAAGGAAAGTGCAGCCCGAGAGGGGTGAAATTTGTGGCTATTAGCCGTTGATTTGCCACAACCAATCCACAGCGAATGAAGAAAATCTGCTACTATGCGTTTCAATTACTGATGCACTGTTAGGGTTAAATGGAGGAGAAACGCGATGGTTTTAGGGCATTCTGGACTGTTGGGGCTATCTTAGGAGCATCTTTGGTGTGCTAGGGCAAGGATTTTGGTGGAGATTGAGTTGGGATTTGAATATTGGAAGAGATTTTGGCTTTACATCTTGGTTCTTCTTCTCTATTCTCATTTTCCTTCCTCTTGTTCAATGTTTGTGTTGAATATATGTATATGTTTTTTCTCATCGGAGTTTTGAATATGGGTGGCTAAAGCTTTGATTCTAGGATTATTTTGAACTCTTGTATGAATTAACTCTTGATTCCTCCTCTCATTTGTGATTAATGAAATATATGTATTCATTTTACCCCTTGCTTAATGCTTCTAAGTGCTTGATCACCATTGCCATGCTCTGTTCACTTGGGTGATGCTTGAGAGAGCTAGTTTAAGTATAGAACTTGGGTAAAATTGTGTAAGAACTTAAAGTTTACTTGTTGAATGGATGGTTTTGTTGGTAAGATTGAGATATACTTGCCAACCTTGCATAGTCACCTTAGGATTATAGCTTAAAATGGGTTTTATTAATTTTAACAAGAGATTGAGCAGTTAATAGAATTAAACACTTATTCTTAATTTGAGAAAGCTTTTACTAGTACATTTTGAATCCTAAACTAACACATATTTTCATTAAAAGCTTTTCTGAGAAGAGGTGAAATTGAATATTACTAGATACATCGGGGATAATAATCCTAGATCCCAATTTATCCTTGAAGTCCAAGAATCATTTGTTTTTATTAATTTTTTATTTTTAAAAGTAGTTATCTTCATTGTTGATATATTTCTATCACTCAAATTAAGCGAAAGTATAATAATTAATATTTCATCGGGTTTTGAAACCAAATCCTCGTGAGAATGATACTTTTCTCATCACTTTATTACTTGTGACAACTCGTGCACTTGCAGTGTGAACACAAATGGATTGGAAACGCACAAAATAAAATATTAATGGTTTTTTAATTTTTGGGTGATTACGTCACAGCTTGCCGGAAATTCTCAAAGCATTGGCCTGTCTCTTTCCTATTCTTTTATGTACTGCCAAAAAATATTGTACATCTCATTTTCATATTCACAGCCTATGTGTTGGAATTTTCACATCCATTAATACGTTTTTATTTATTTTTCTGATATTCAATAGTCTGTATGTAAAAGATAAACATATATACTATTATACTTCTTCTAGTGCTAAATATAAAACACATTTTATAATATAATTTATATTATAAAATTAATTTTATATTTAGGGTCGAAAGAGTATGTTTTATGATAGAAGCATAAACAGGAAAATTCTGTCGTGATCATGATATGCATGCTGAGTGTTATGCCAATCATAAATGTGTGTGTGTAATAGAGTCCCTCATATAACTTGATTAATTTACGCTTTTTCTCAATGTCTGAGAAGGGTTAAAAAAAAAATCAAAGATGAATTTAATCTTGGAGAATAGTTGAAAAAATGGATGATTATTTAGTTAATTGTATAATAATTATATAATAATATCACTAGATAGTAAACAGTTAATTGTTTGTAAAAGAAAATTGTTTTTTTGCCACAACATTTGATCTGCGTCGAGCTTAATGCTCAATATAGTTCAACATAATTAATTATTGATTGTAAAGTATTATTATGGTTTAATAAAATACATGTATATAATATAGTACAACAAAAAGGAGATTGTTTTTCAAAATTGCAGCGACATCCATCAAATCAATCAGACCTACAGTCAAACGAACAAATTAATTATTTTTTTTGGGTTAAGAACAAATTAATTAAATTTAAATTAAACGAATGTCAATAAACTGACAAATATATGCATCAAATAAATAAATCCTATTATGATAAACATATTCGCATATATAGCCAAGAATGTCCGAAATGTATGACATGTATTGATTATCTAGATAGTAAACAGTTAATTGTTTTACTTATGGGGCGCATGAAATTTCATTGAGTTTACAGGTGAAATTTATGGTTTTTTTTTTTTAAAAAGATCAACCGAAAATAATTATATATGTGTATAGTAGTATATCATACTCGTGTGTGCATTATTGAGATAGTTACTGGGAAAGTTATTAATTGTTATATGATTTGGTAGCCATTTAATTTTAAAAAAACGTCGTATATGATTTAATCTCTACCGATTCGAAGGCACTGACTGATTCACAATTTTTTTTAAGCATTAATAGCAGGATTTAGGTTTTTATACAAAGTCAACCGAAGCTTCCTTAATTTGTCAATATTTCCTTTTGTTTTGGGAAGTCAAAAACTTCACAATTAAGGTAAGCTTAGCCTGGCATGGTCAAATATTAATTACTAGAGACCTAAATTATTTCATTTGGCATCTGGAATTGAAAAAAATTATCAAATAAATCCCTATTTTATAGTTTTAGCCCCTATTTGACGTATTTTTAACTCAATAAATTACCCTTCATTCACATACTTCTATTCAGTAATATTTAAAATATTTAATATTGGTTTTTCTTTAAAAATTGATAGGACTAGATATGGTTTTCCTGTGCATTACATGAGATTATAAAAACAAGACATACTATTCAAAGTTTGCAAATAGCATTTTCCCCAAAAAAAGTTTGTAAAGTTAAGTGATTTTTTTAACTTAATAATATTTCTTATCAATATTTATATACTGCTATATAGAGAGAGAAAGAGAGAGAGATTGGGGACTTTGCGTCGTTGGATACCTTATGCCTCCTTCAACTAAATTTGGAAGGTCAACTAGGGTGGGCCCCCACTCCCTTTCGTATGTTATGTGGAACTACAAAGTGATTAGTGAGTCATGTGAGACCGGAGGTAGTATACAGATATATTTTTATATTGGTATTAAAAATATGCATAAGAAAATTTTTCACTCCACCAAAATGTAAAAATAATTATTTATGATTGGACGGATTTAAACATTATATTGCTATTGCTACTGTTTGGTGAGTGAGAATATTCGGGAAGATTGAATCCATGGTCTAATTATCATTATATTTATGGAAGCAAACAGATTAAAGGACAACAAATTAAATCAAATCTAGACGCCAAATTACATATATTACTGCTTCATCTCTCTGCTATAATACATATAATTGCTCTGCGTGTGTGTGTGTGTGTGAATTCTTCTATAACACAAGCCTTCTCGCTTCAATATCACTGGCACTTTTCCACAATCTGCATGAAAATGAAAAATCGAAATGAAATTAGTAAACGGCAGAGTATTGAAAGAAGGAATAATGAAGACGGTTACGCATAATATGTATATACAAGCCAAAAGGCTAATTATATTAAGGAGTTGGTCATACTTTGTCGTATGGATGGATTTGGAGAAATTAAGATTAAAGTATTTTTTGAAAAAATGGACGAGAGATAAAGAAAAGTAGTACGTGCCCCAGTTCTCAGGTACTAAAAAATTCTTCAATAGGAAAAAAAATATAGCCAATATGCGAAAACTTTTTCCACGTACGCATAAGATAAGGTAGGTAGGCAGGTATCATGGCATACTTAAAGACGAACCTCATCATCAGAACTGATATGGAGGAGTAATTAACATTGAACCCATGTTTTCCTAATGAAAAAGGATATCCTAATTATAAAGACTAGTTTGTAGCGTAATTTACATTACAAACTAGTTTTTATAATTAGAACCGGTATTTTAAAACAAAAGAAAGAAAGAATAATGAACCTGATGGAGAAGTGTAGGGATCATGGTCTCTTGGTAAAGACCTTGGCGGTGGTGGGGATTGGGGTGGGCTTTCTTAAAGGAGTCTGAGAGTGAGGAGGATGGGGCGTATTTGCTTTGGAAAAACTCTTCTGCGTGGTTGGCATTTTAGTGCCATTGACATTTTTGGAAGGATTAGTAGAGGCCGCCGCCTGAGTCTGAGTTATTGGTGGTGGCCTGAAAACCTTCTGGGGGTTTATGCTTTTAGAATTCATATATAAGGATAATGTTTGGGAGCCTTAGGATGGGGGTAAAGAAACAAGCTAGCTAGCCTGTTAGGCAGAAAAACTGAGAGAATTAAGAGGTAGATGATAGATAGATAGATAGATGGAGAGGAATATTGGTGTTGTGAAGCTTGTTGGTGAAGCAGAGGTAAATTTATAGAGTTGTATTAACGAAGATTTCATGAGAAGGGAGGAAATGGGGGAAGAAATTTACAGAGAAATTATGGGGAAAATTTTGAAGCAGCGTGCGTTGGATTGGGGCACAAGTAAGTGATCCATGACTTGGCTCTCCGCGGTTGCCTTATGCCTGCTTGAGACGTTGGTTAGTTATCTCCAGCCACGTTATCACTGTCCCCTCTCTCTGCCGCGAAGCCTTCAAGTGTGAAAGCAAATTAAGTGTTCAAAATTAAAGCCCATATATAATACTCTTCTCATCCCTTAGTCACATAAAGTGTTCACATTTTATTTATTATTATGTAAATTGTTATTTTATTAAAAAGTGTATGGGCATTAAATAAATATAAAATTATAAAGTTGTAAAGTTTTAGAATAGGATTAATAAAAAATTTTTTTAATTATAATGAAACCTGTTAAAAATTCCTCACGAATAAAATTAGAGGGAGAGAAGACTCCAACTTCGGAGGCACGCGGCTTGAGGGAGCAGTTGGCTGAGGTGCCAGAGAATGAAAGAGCGAAATATGGAATGCGAGATCATATTGAGTAGCTTTGGCCGTGTAGGACCCCTTCCAAACTTCCTGCGTCCCTTCACAGAACTTATATGTGCCTCGCTAATTATAAAATTCAATTTATCTAAACACACACATATATACACACACTACACTTTTCATCCTATTTACAAGTCAGTTTTTTTTTTTTTTATCATGCTCACATAATTGTATTTTTAATGTGACTATTGTATTAATTATAATTATTTTGCCTTTTATATATTATTGTGTAAACTATTATTTTCTTAAAACGTGCATATATATGTATTAAATAGACACAAAATTAGAAAGCTATTAAATTTTAAAATAAGATTAATAATATTTAATTTTTTATTTTAATAAAATATGTTAAAAATGATCTATAAATAAAAATAAGATCACAGACTCAAACTTCTCAGCCACGTGGCTTGACGGCGTTGGCTGAAGTGCCAGAGAATGAAAAGGCGAGATATGGAATAGTGGGAGTTGTGTTGGCCGTGTAGGACCCCTTCAAAACTTCCTTTCTCCCTCCACGGAACCGTACCCGAGTCCCTCCCTAATTATAAAATTCAATATTTAAATATATATTATTGGTTTTTTTTAGAGACTTTATATTTTACATTGATATCGATGATTTTAACTACATACTCCTCTCATCCTATTTATTTATAAGTCATAGAAAAAAAATATTTTTTAGTCCTATTTATAATGCATCGAGAGAATTTTTTTATATGGATGTATAGTTTTACCCTTTATTTACTAGTGTGCTGACTTTATTCACATGAGGTATAATGTATATTAAATAGACATAAAGTCAGAAAGTTGTTAAATTTTAAATGAGAGTTAATAAAATTTAAGATTTTTCTTAGTCTATATGAAACATATTGGAAGTGACTTATAAATAGGATCACAGAAATATACTAAAGGGTTTTTTTTTTAACTTGAGCATATTTTCAAAATATTTATTTAAATTAATTGTATTAAAGAATTACGATTTCTTGAAATTTACATGGATATACACACATTATGATTATGAACTTGCTTGAAGGGGAAGCTAGGATAGGAAATTTACAAACAAAAGGTGTAGAACTTAGATGCTAGTTTCTCTCAACGCTATGCTGTGAATAAAGCAGAGAAAGTTTCATTTTATTAATGGAGTTTCCGCGGACAGAGAGAGAGGTGGTCATGTCCATGTCGTGGTAAAGCACTTAGATAAAGACCAAAGACTTTACCTTAACGGCGTCACACGGAGCCGTGAACCTTTAATTTTGTCCTTCACCTGAACAAGGTCACCTTGCGTTTTCTTTTTTGGTTTTTTTGTATTGCCCGAAAAGACAGAAACTTTTTTAGCACGTAGTTGAATCAAGCACACTATCATGGGATACTTCCTCACATTTTGTCGGAAATTCTTACACCATTGACTTCTCTATATCTCTCTTATTATTTGTCGGCAAATATGTGTACATCTCCTTTTCATAGAATTTTCTTTAATTTCCAGGACTCAGTAAGTATTGTCTAATACTCTTCCGGTCCTTAATATAAGACCCATTTAACTAATTTGATTAGATTAAGGAAGTTATGTAAGTTAGTTAATTATAAGAAAAGTGACATATTTTTCCTAAAATACCATAATCATCTTTCTTAATACTCCCTCTCCCTCTTCTACTTGATTATGGTTGAGGGAGTATCATAGGGGTAATTTAGAGAAAATTGATAAATATAAGAAATGTGTTTTATATTTAAGACCAAAACCAACTCAATAATTGGGTCCTATATTAAGGACTGGAGGAGTATTATCATATCATCACCAGCCACGTGGTGGAATTTTCGCATTAATTTTCACATTCAATATATGAGTCAATATATAAGAGACAAACACATTATATATCTTCCGGTGGAAGCAACCGGCGGATGGTGATTTGCCCATAAGTTCGCAGAGGTCACTATGATCCTTCTTGTTATTTGATGAGAGCTTTTGTCATTCGCCTTGGGGTTCCCAATCAAAAATAAATCCAAGCAATGCAATATAGTGCAAGACTCGGGTCGTTTCACTTTGAGGGGCCTTTATTTGAAATCCTAAACAACTAAGTATCAAAAACAAAGAATTGAGTTGGCAAGGGATTGATTTTCTTTTTAACTAACTAATTGGCAAAATTTAAAAGGATGTAAAATGAGTAAATAATTTTTGGATTTTTAGTTTATAAAATGGATATGAATGAAATAAACAAAAAGAATTAACAAGTGACAACAAATGGAAAAGCAATCCTCTAGCACAATACTTTAGGCTATCATTACTTCAATTAATTTGGGAGTTAGCTAAATTCAAAAGACTCTAAGGGCCACCCCTTAGACTCGGTTTAATTAGAATAATCAACACCAAGCCACCTTGCATATTAATTACTCACAACTAAACTGTTTCAGCACAATTAGCCAAAAAGAATCAAGGAAAAGCAATTAACATTTTTAGTCCAATAACCAAGCCACCTTGAATTACCACTGAATATTCACATAATTTCAAAACATAGTCTGACCCAGTACAATGTAAAGAAATTAAAGCTAATCACAGCATAATGTTAAATGCTAATAAAAGATTATAGCAGCTACAACCAATTTCAATACAAATATAAATCATCACAGCACATTCAAACATTATAAAATTCATTCTAAGGCCTAGAAATCATAATTATAATGAAAGAAATAAAGATTGGAAGAGCTGAAACTCCCCTTTGAAGCTCCAAGTTCAAGTCATAAATACTGTGCTAGAGAATTGAAGGATTTAGCTAAGCCCCTGTATCAGTAAAGCTCCACCGTTCTGTCTCTGTTCACCGCCACTCCTCTTGTTCTGTTACGCAACGTGGAGAGGAAGAAGATGTAGTTGACGGTGGCAATGGAGGCACGAGCAGAGGCAGCAAAACAGAGGAGCTCGCCGTCACTCGTGAGCGCGTCCTCTGGTCCTGTTCACGCCGCTTTCCTCTGGTTCTGGACGCTTGTTCTGCCGTCGCTCTGTTTTCTCCCTCTCTCAGCCGCCGTCCGTGTGTCTGCCACCAGGAAGAAGCCGTGGAGAAGAAAGAAGAACAGATGCTGTCGATGGAAGATGAAGACTCAGGGGAGAGGAAGTGTGATTGCCGTGAAGCTTTGGTCCTTCGTTCCCTCTTCCTCGCCGCTGGTCTTCTCTCGTCGTTAGCTCGCTCCGCTCTGTTTTTTTTTCTTGCCGCCAGCTTTTTTTATTTTTATTTTTAAATCTTCCAAAAACCTACAATCAAAATTTAAGAATAAGGTAGCATTAATTGTCCTTAAAAATCAATTAATCATAATTAAATCAAAATATGACAATTTTACCCCTACAAATTAATAATTCAAAATAAAATATAATAAATCAGTTAACAATCAATTAAGACAAAAAAGGACCAATTAAGGACAAAACCTATATCAAAATATATAAAAATAATTGAGTTTGTCATTAATATAAGTTGACAAAACCAAAAATATATCATCAAATATATAAAAATAATTGAGTTTGTCATTATTCTTTTTATTTTCTTTTTGTTTCCGTGTATAAGACCACTTCTTGAAAAATTCAAACTAAATTTTACATACTACTTCCGATTCTTAATATAAGACCTCATTTGACTCTTATTTTGATCCTAAATATAAGACCTCATTTCACTTTATCTCTCATATTTATTCATCCTTTTTCAAGATAATCATTCTACTAATGGTAATTCTAGTGAATAGGCTTGATCAGCAAAGATATTTTAGAAAAGACAATACATATTTATTACAAATAATTAATTTAATTAACTTATTTTTTTAATCTATTCAAATTAGTCATCTAGCTCTTATATTTAGGACAAGAAGTAGTATATTGAATCATAGGAATGAAAAAAATAATGGCATATATATAACTTAAGCAAGCATTTTAAAAATTTAATTTTAATACATCACAACTACTTTAAATTGTGAAAAAAAATACTCCTCCGCTTCTAAATATAAAACTCTTTTTGTAGTATAATTTACACTAAAAAAAAGGATCTTATATTTAGGACCGGAAGACTATTTAACTTTATCCCTCCCCATGTATTTTTTAAAATAATATAACAGAATTAAGGTATAATCGTTT